GAGGGAAATAGCCATGGATTTTATAGTGGAATTGCCTGAAAGCAATGGGAATACTGTTATCTGGACAGTCACGGACCTATTTTCCAAACAGGTGCACTTTATCCCTTGCCAAAAAATTCCCACTGCAAAGGCCTTAGCAAAACTTTTCATCCAGCACATTTACAGATTGCACGGGGCACCCCAACGCATCATCTCTGATAGGGGAGTGCAATTTACGTCTGCATTTTGGAAGGAATTTTTATCCCTCTTAGGGACCACTCAGGGATTGACATCTAGCCACCACCCTCAAGGAGATGGACAAGCGGAACGCTGCCAGTCGGTACTTGAGCAATATTTGAGATGTTTTTTAAATTTCCAACAGAGTGATTGGACGGACTTACTTCCTTTTGCAGAAGTTGCCTACAATAATGCAGTCCACTCCAGCACAGGCTACACTCCTTTTCAAATAGCCAACGGTCAAAGTTTCAACCCTATGCCAGAGTTAACCCCAAAAGAACCAACGATCCCTTCACTGAAAGAATGGATGGAAAACCTACAAAACACCTGGCCAATAGTCAGAAAATCACTAGATGAAGCTAGGCGGGCATACAAAGCACAAGCCGATAAAAAAAGGGTTGAGCCTACACCATTCATTATAGGAGAAATGGTGTACTTATCTACAAAATACCTAAAGTCCCTACAGCCCTGTAAAAAACTTGGACCAAAATATATAGGACCTTTTCCAATTAAAAGGATCATAAATCCAGTAACAGTAGAATTAGAATTACCCAAAAACCTCAGGCAAATACACCCAATTTTTCATTGCAGCTTGCTGAAAAGAGAGCATCAGTCACATCTACGGCCAAAAATCCCCCCCCCACCACCTCCACTCATGGTGGAGGGTGAATAACACTTCGAAATAAAGGAAATCCTTGATTCTAGGAGATATCATGGGGCAACTCAGTACCTAGTTGCCTGGAAACACCTACCTCCCTCACAAAATGAGTGGGTCCATAAACGTCATGTCAGAGCCCCGAAGCTATTGAAGAAGTTTCACACAGAGTATCCTAACAAGCCTGACTAAATTTTATACTTGTGTTTTCTTTCAGGTGGATCTCTCTTATTGTTAAGAGGGGCCGGATGTCAGAATCCAATTATATTTCATCTTTAAATTATCAAATATAGAAACTCCCAATTCTGCCTTCTCTGGATTCTGCCATAAGAGGGAGAGAAGGGGGAGAACAAAGGGGCTTTATGGCCCTCACTTCCTTCTTTACACTTCAAAGAGCTGAATGCTGAATGTGTGTTTATTGTAACCTCGAAGCGTTAACATACCAAAGGAGGGTAGTTGCCTTTCATGTAGTTATCTGAAGTCCCCATGCAGACGGAAGAAAGAAGAAAGGGGGTGGAATTGTGATACTTGAAACTATCACTGGAAGGGGGGTTGATTGGGTGGGACTACTGGGGAACCCCTTAAAACCTTGAATGGAAGAGCTTGAACCCCAAGTCCTGTCTAGCATGCCTGCAACCATTTTCTCTTAATAAAGGATTCCTGTTGGAAGAATTATTCCAAGAGTTCTGTCTTCTTAAGATGCAAAGTGGGGTGGGTCCTTACACCCTCAAATATTGGAACACTGGTATAATGTCACCCCTAGTCCTTCTTTTTAATAGATTAGACAAGTTCAATTCCTGCAACCGTTCTTCATATGTTTTAGCCAGCCCACTAATCATCTTAGTGGCTTTTTTTCTGCACTCTTTTCAGAGTCTATACATCTACCTTCCATCTTGACACTGCACTGCAAATGTTATTCCCAGGTTGCTCCACCTTCATGACTTCTCATAGACCATCTAAAGGGTACCAAATTGCAGAAAGTTGACTGTAGAATAAAAATGATACTAGCTGAGTTGATATTTTAAAATAAATTAAAGCCGCGGTGGGGAACCTGTTATGAGTATACACCTGGTCAACATGGCCAGTGGTAAAGATTGTTTGGGGTATAGTTCAGTAGCATCTAAAGAACCACAGATTCCCCATCCTTGCTTTATTTTTAACCATGACTTCCTGCTTCTTGTGTTCTGGCTACTAAACAAGAAATGGCATCTGTTAGTGGACTGGGAGGGCAAGAATCAAATATGAGAGGAATGTCTGTTTACTGTCAAGAGCAACAGCAACAAATGTCTTTCTCTCTATTTGAGTTCTTCCTCTCGGCAGTGCTAATGGACATTTCTCCTGTCCTTGAGTTGGTAGATAAGTAGGCCACCCTAAATTGCTTTGCCTTCTTTGTCGAGCTCTATTCTCCTTCAATAGTGAAACCAGACAGAAGTGTTCTCCTGATATATTAGACATGCAGAAGATGAAAGGATGTTCAACTCAGCCAGTACTTTTGGAAGTGAGCTTGAAATGGGGGTAAATAATACTGGCTTGGAAACATTTCTCCAGCCTAAAAGATACTTATTTTGAACACCTTTTAGTGCTTGTGATAGTCATTCTTAGTAAGAGGCAACAGTATGTTGTGCTCTGCATGCTGGGCTGTGTAGCTGACTCTGAGGCAGTGTTTGGATTTTTTTATGTAGACCTCTAAAGTAGCTTCTCATTTCTACCCATCTGGTCCAGAAATAACAGAATAACAGAGTTGGAAGGGAAATTGGAGATCTTCTAGTCCAACCTCCTGCTCAGGCAGGAAATACCATACCATTTCAGACAAATGGTTGTCCAATCTTTTCTTTAAAACTTTCAGTGTTGGAGCATCCACAACTTCTGGAGGCAAGTCATTCCACTGATTAATTGTTCTAACTGTCAGGAAATTTCTCCTTGATTAGTTTCTCCAAGTTCTCTCCTTGATTAGTTTCCATCCATTGCTTCTTGTCCCTTGGAGAATAGGTTGACTCCCTCTTCTTTGTGGCAACCCCTGAGATATTGGAACACTGCTATCATGACACCCCTCGTCCTTCTCTTCATTAAATTAGACATATCCAATTCCAGCAAACGTTCTTCATATGTTTTAGCCTACAGTCCCCTGATCATCTTTGTTGCTCTTCTGTGCACTGCAAGATATGCGGCAAAAAATAATAATCCTATCAGCTGTTACTTATTTCTTTTATCTGGAAATGTCAGGGATTCAATTCGAAGCACATCTGTAATGAGCTGTGGATTCTTTCTGTGTTAACATTCATCATGCTTTCTTTGCTTAAGAAATACACAGCGGAAACATCTACTTTTTTCACTGATTTGGATTGATTTAGATTGAATGATACCAACTTAGAAGAAAAAAAAACCCTAGATAGGGAGTATCCTGCAGTTTTTGCTTCACCAGTTGTTTTACATTATAGGAGCTTAATTTTATATTTCTGAAAAATAAACTTGTAAGTATAAAATTAAGTCCATCATCTGGCTGTTGTTAACATATGAAATAAACAGTATGAAATTATCTCAAAATGGTCTTGATGTGCAAAATGCCTGTGACTTGTTGCTTTCAATTATTCTGTTCTATTAGCGTCCCAGATGTTAGCCTGTCATTATCCATGAAAAACTTATTTTATTTTCAGTGCCTTATCACAGATTTAGCATCCATTCATAGAAAGAATTTATTTTATTTTATTTTTATTTCATGTATATCAAATTACTATGCCACCCACCACACTTCTATGATACTGTAATCCTGGTATTAAGCAATGCAGTGTATATATTGAGAGAATCTGGATTTGAAAGAAAACAGGTGTGGTTTTAAAAACTGGAGGAAGAAACAAAGTAATCTGAACTATGCTGAGGACACTACTTTGACATCTGAATATGCGAATGAAGTGCATATTCATTAACTTTCTAGTGGAAAAATGGGACTCAAATTAAATTTAATAAAGACCATCCTAATAACAACAGTATAACAACCAGCTTTAGAACAGACAATGGACATACTGAAGTGGAGATAATTAAATACCTTATAGAGTCAACTATCAACAGCAGTCAAGCAGTCAAGAATTAAGCAGCAGACAAATTCTAGGTAGAACAGCAGTAAACCTTGGGGGAAAAGAATTCAGGTGTTGTGACATGTTTATATCTAAAAAGTTCAGACTCATGCAGACAATGGTTTTCCTTGTGACTCTCTGAAAGTGAAAAGTTGGACTTTGAGAAAGTAGGAGACAAAGATTACAGTACTGATGCCTTGGAATTTTGGTGTGGTCAATGGACTCAGTTATAGCAGCAATGGTACACTGTTGAAAACGAAAAGACCCATTGGGAACAGTTCCTTCTGGAGAAAATTTGCCCATGTCGATTTAGATCCACATAGCTGGAGCTCATGCTCCATTAAACTAGGAATCAACATTGACTTGATGACATATCGTCCCCAATGAAAGATATTTTTGCACGATTTGTATTCTGTTCCAGCATAGTTAAATAATGCTGTCTGCAGCAATTTTTGAAAGTTAGGAGAATTGCCTTTTCTCTTCTTCTTGAAGTACCAGACAGATTGCTTGAGAACAAAAGATTTAGGTAAATTACTGAATTGAATCTCTCGTGCAGTCTTTTCTCCCTCTCCCTCTCCCTCCCTCTTTCCCGCCCCCTCTTCTTCTCCTTTTCTCTCCCTCCTCTCTTCTCCTTTTGTCTCTCTCTCTCTCCTTCCCTCCCTCTCCAAATTCCCCTAGTCTTCTGTTTGGACTGAGATTCTCTGGGCAATTCATGTTGCCTGGTTTAATAAAATTAAAAGAAAAAGCAGGAAAGGGGGATTTTGTGAATATTTCATAGGCTGTCCAAAAGAAGAGAAGAAAAGCATTTGCCAACAGATGTCAAGGCACAAGACATGCACGTATCCAAGCACCTGGCTCCCCTTTCCATTCACCATTCACCCAGCCAGGATCTGGAATCTAATACTGTCCCAGTAGACACTCAATAGAAGAACTTAATTATTTAGCCTTTTCTGAAAACAGGACAGGTTGTTTTGAGTATGTTAACTGTGTGATTTAATCAATAGGCAAGCTGAGTAAATTATTCAAAAAGCTGTCTTTGCTATGTATTTGACTTTCAGAACCCAAGGGAAGAAAGAGGAAGCACTTCTCCTCCTGAGAAATTCCATTCAGTACGGACCAGATTTTGCCGATGCCTATTCTAGTCTCGCTTCACTCTTGGCTGAACAGGTAACTGAAAAAATTCAGAATCATCTATCCCAGCTTTTCCGAATCTGAGCCTTCCTGATATGCTGGGTTTCCATTTGGGTTCTGGTGTTTTAGATAATTTTGCACCTTTCATCAGGCTATTTTTTTTTCATGCCAGAAAATTAGCTTGTCATTCTTGTAAACTTCAAAGTAACACTACAGACTTCTTTTTAAAAATGTTTACTGTCTCCTTCCTCAGAACAAACCGTTTCCATGGAAATGCTTAGGAGACTCAAATGTTCCAAAGGTAGCAGTTGATTTAGTTGTACATTTGATGTAGCTCATTGACTTTGGGTCAGGTTATGTATACAGTAATCATTGACTTACGATCCCAAATGGGATCAAAATTTCTGTTGCTAAGCAAGGAAGTTTTTAAGTGATCCCCAGGTGGTGTGGAGATGTTGTATTCTGTAGTGCCTGCCTGTCTTCCTAGCACCTGACTATGACACCAGTCTCACCCACCCATAGCTCCCACCCACTGGCCTGCTTGTCTGGAACACGGTTTCAGTGGTGTAAGCAAATACTTATGGATTTCCACCTCTTTGTACATTGTGGTCATGTGAAATCCTCACTTAACAACCCACATGTTTTTTGCTTAATAATGGCAGTGGAGACTGGTGGGATTGTCAGTGCTAAGTGATGTGGTCACGTGACATTGTCCTTTATGACCATATCCTTTAGTGATGGAAACTCTAGTCCCAATTACTGTTGTAACCTGAGGACTATCCAGAAGCCTTTCTCTTCACCTGTAACTGTAACAGTTAAAGACACCATCTTCAAAACACATGCTCTGTTGTTGATAGACCATATTTCAAATATCACCAGTGTAACGACTGCAAAGCGGGGGCGGAGGGGTGGGGAGCAGCCTCAAGAAATGCTATTTGCTTTTTCAAAAGCACTACAAAACTGAGAGTGGGTCCACAAACAGCAAAAAGCCCGAAAGGAACTGTTTGCTTTATGAATTGTAGTTGATAGAGCATTGGAAACTAATTACAAGGAATGAGGCAGGAACCAACATTAGTTCTGTTATGATAGAGAGAATGTTATGCCACCATAGGTCAGGTCTTCCAAGGCCATTAGGAGAATGGCCAAATTCCATTATCTTGGAAAGATGGAAGGAAAAATCCTAGGATTTAAATCAGTGTTTCTCAACCTTGACAATTTTAAGGCATGTGGACTTCAACTCCCAGAATTCCACAGCCAGCAATGCTGGCTGTGGAATTCTGGGAGTTGAAGTCCACATGCCTTAAAATTGTCAAGGTTGAGGAACACTGATTTAAATCCAGAAACATAGACATGTATGAAGGCTTTGATTTCTTTCTATATGTGGCTTCATTCTTATTTTCAACAAAAAGAACTAATTTTGCTAAGTTGTGTCCATGCACTTTTTGCCAAATAAGACAATCCTTGAATATGGGGTAAAGTATTTGGAGAGCTAGGTTTCACTACTGTGTCCGATGGGAAGCCTGATATTAACTTTTTCCCTTTTCTGCGGAGCAACTCAGAGTTAAATGGGCTTAGTTGAGATAAATGAATCCCACCCATCTTGTCTTTATTCCTGGTAGCTTCTGAGACACATCCATTTTGGCAAGAGAACAAATGTGGTTTGCTATTACTTTCCCCCGGATGTATTTCCCCCTCCCCAACTTCTCATTCTAGTCTACTGATCTGATATTCCCTGGAGATTTTCCATCCGAGTCTTGTCTAGGACCACCCCTGCTTAGCTTCCACGTTAAGTCTGCCACCTGCTGAGACTTCATGAGTTTTAATGAAGAGTGACTTGACCATTCTGTTCCTTCAAAGCTTCAGAATGGATTGTGGGAGATGGAATAATCCCAGTCCCCAAAATGAATTGCATTGGAAGTTCAGTGCAACTTCCAAACTTATTATTTCCCAGGCCCTGTTCATTGCCAGCTGACTGTCATTTTTGTCTCTTCTCCATCCACTTCTGGTAGGACTTTGCTGCCAAAGGCCACTCATATTTTTTGTCATTCCGATCTTATCATCTTTTTCTTATATACCAGTATTTCTCAACCTGGGCAGCTTTAAGATATGTGGACTTCAGCTCCCAGAATTCCATGTTGGCTGGGGAATTCTGGGAGTTGAAGTCCACAAATCTTAAAATTGCCTAGGTTGAGAAACCCTGGTATATACTGTTATGTCCTGAGCCTGTGGAAGCAGGCTCGGGGCATTGCAACGGTCCTGGGCAGGTGCAAGCTGCCCGGGACCAGACTGGCTGTCGCCAGCACGTGCGCGCATGCGCGGGTGCTGGCGCGCCAAATGTTGCAGATTGGCCCGGGAATGGCCTATAAAAGAGGCCGGGAGATTTGGGCGTTGTCGGCGTCTTGTAACCAGTATGCTGAACAGAAATAAAGAAGTTCCTGAGAACTACAACTGCTTCTCGTGTCATTGCCATTTCGCGAAGGACGCAACATATAACTTTACAGGCTTTCTGCCTACTTCCAGAGCATGCATACACTCTTTCTCCATGTTTTCTCTGCTTTGCCTTATCTCTCTGTACTGAAAACCCAAAACATTGCCTTTTCTGACCTTCCCCAATTTTAATCATCCGAAAGTCTTCTTATTCCATGAAGTAATCCCTATTGTTCCTCCCAGAAAGATGTCTCCTGATAACTGCCTCTCTTGCTTCCCTTTTTATCTTTTTCTCAATCCCTGTTGTTTGTAAGAAGTCTTTGGCTCACTCTTTAATGCCTTTGCTTTATGATATAAATGTGTAATTGAAATTCTTTCCTCCCTGCGCGGATATGAAAAAGAAAACTGCTGTGATCTTCCTTACTCTCATATATCAGTAGTCATGTAACATTTATAATGTCTGCATGTGTGTCACATGGAAATTAATAGGAGAGAGAGGGCCAGAATTCTATTCCAAGCAACCAGTTAGAGTCCAGAAATTGTAATAATGGTAGACTAATGATGTCTGGGGCACCAGGTTCAGGAAGAGTGATCTAGATTACTGGAAGCATATGTTTATCTTAGACCACGGTTCTCTGTTGTCAAAGTGCTGGGAGCCTTTCTTTTCTGCCATCGGAATTTTGTTCCCACTTCAGGCTCCAGCAGATAAAATTCCATGCTTCCAGGGCAATATCTAAGCTGGGTTGGTTGATTTTCCACTTGACTTTTAAGAGATTCTTTTAAGTAACATAAATCAGTAGCAAATTGGCATGCATCATATTTACTTCTAACAATGGAATGCCTTGAAGCCCCATAAAGGTCCTTAGTGAATAGTAGAAAATACAACGGGGAAATTAGTTTACTTTCTGCTAAATGGGTATTTTATAAGCAGCCACACACTTTATGATGGTCATTTCGTGTACAGATATCTCCTGCGGCAGTTGTTTTGTGTAGCCTTAATCTAAATTCTACAATCGGTGCCCCTCTATGTTTTCTTATCTAACCCAGTGGTCTAATTCCTATTTACCAAGCCTTATGAAGGATTCCTTTTCTTCAAAGGCTGCTCTGGATGTTAACCCTACTTGAATTGTAAGGCACACACTCCCATTAGGGTCTATGATTATTTTTTTTTGCAAGCCCCAAGTATAAATTTAGCCTTGTTTTGTCAAATTTGGGAAATGTTTCTTTTGAAAAGCAACTTTAATTAAATCAATTCAGAATATGTTGTTAATTAAATCAATTCAGAATATGTGTTGCAGTCTTGGAGTTAACTCTCACAGAATTCTAAAAAGGCCCTTGCTTCTTGTTTCTTAACAAAAGCGAGCAGATACCTGTAATTCTATACAAATTTACCTGCAGTTAAGTCCCACAGAACAAAATTGGTTTCACTATAGACAGAGATGGGATTGCCCTGTGAAAGGGGCAATCTACTGCAATTGACTCCACATGAGGCTTTGAAGATTACTTAGAAGTTAGACCTGTCCAGAATGCAGAGATCTGTTGATTGGCTGTATACCCTGACAATAGCACATTATTATAGCACAGTGATGGCGAACCTTTTAGAGACCGAGTATCCAAACTGCAACCCAAAACCCACTCATGTATCGCCAGGTACTGGGTGGGTGTGGCCCACTCGGCGGGTACAGCTACAGTGGGCTTGGCAAACTGAGTGGGCATGGCCACTGGATGGGTGTGGCTGCAGTAGTCATGGAAGATTGGATGGGCATGGCCGGGGTGAGCGTGGCCACCTTAATGTTGCTTATGGGGAGGGACACCTGTGGGAGCCTAGCAGGGTTGGGGGTGATCCAGAGGGTCTCTGGTGGGTGGGATGGTGGGCTCCCCCATGGCAGCTGCAGGCTGGCTGGCCTTAGGCCAGTGATGTCGAACTTTTAGAGACCACGTGTGCTGGGGCAATGGCACATGCCCACAGAGAGGGCTCTGTGTGCCACCTCTGGTACACGTGCCATAGGTTCGCCACCACTGCTATAGCACCTTATAGCAATGGTACAGTGGTTAAAGACACTGAGCTTGTCAGCTGGAAAGCTGACAGCTTGGGTTCAAGACCAAGTGCCACATGACGGGATGAGCTCCCGTTACTTGCAGAGCTCCTGCCAATCTAGCATTCCAAAGCATGCAAATGTGAGTAGATAAATAAGCACCCCTTTGGGGGGAAGGTAACAGCATTCCATGCACCTCAGTGTATAGTCATGCTGGCCACATGAGTACGGAAGTGACTTTGAATAAAAGTGGCTCTCTCGGCTAAGAACCGGAGATGAACACTGCTCCCTAGAATCAGACATGACTGGACAGGTGGAAACCTTTATCTTTATAGCACATTATTATAGCAGATTGCTTTGGCTTCTTATCAGCTTCTGGGTATGAATCAAATACAGTATGTTTTCAATAATTTTCCATAATCAATTGTATTTTTACTAGTAGTCCTCGAAGAACAGCCATAATGAAGCCTGCCTATTACAGCAATAAGTTGTGACAATCGTAAAGTGGCTCACCCAAGTGACTGACCTAATTTTACAACCTTTTTCTGGTTGTCATTAGATGAATCCAATGTTTGATATGGGGCATTTTTGCCAAAACTCAGAAATAAATGCTGGTTTCTGGCAAAAATGTTGTAAATCACAGTCATGTGACCAGAGGAGGCTGCAAACAGCCATAAAATGAGCTCCTGCCATTGGAACTTCAGAATTGGGCCATGAGTTCCTTGGGGGGGGGGTGAAGTTCATCATAACTTTGAATGATTGGCTAAGTGACTAAGCATAAGTTGACTATTTGTATAGTACTACTACTCTTCTTCCAAACAGCTCATATCAGCTTTCAGATATTCCAAAACAATTGATTCTTTGCCATATAGGTTTATTGTAGCTGTCTGTCTAGTTAAGTATTGTGAGAATGTGCTGCCCCACTCACTCACACATGCATGTAACTGTGATGTAGTGCGTTTATTAATATTCCCCAGCAATTCCCTTCACCAAAAACTCAGAACTGTCCCAATTAAGTCCAGCCATCAGCAGGCCAAGATTAGTTCACAGAGCAATGGCCTAATAGTCCACAAAGCAAATAACTCCACCAGGCAAAATTTAAATTCATACACAAGAGAGCTCACGTGGCAAAAAAAATTCAGAGTCTTCAAGGCACAATTCGAAACACGATGTCAGTCCAGAGTGAAGAAGGAATCACGGTGATCAAACAAACAACTAGAAAACCAATTTGTTCCCAGCAATGCCTCCATCTGTGATAAATAACCAGCTTTCCAGTGCAGTGCATCAAGACGGGTGGGGTCTTCTCCTCGCAAGTAATCTGGCTGTTCTCAGCTGCTTTTGCCATTTCTCTGCCCTGCGTGTTCTTGGATCAGGTGTAGAAGGCAATTCCTCCTCCTGTTCACTGGCCATCTGCCACTGCAAACTTTCCTCAGCTGAGGTCTCCTCTAAATCAGAGGAGCCATCAATCAACCCAGGTCCTGACGTGCCAGAAATGGTCTCAACCTTCCCTAAACTGACATCTGAGGAGAAATCTGGGGAGTTGCCCAAGGGAGACATCGCAGTTATAGCCAATTGGTTTTTGAGAGTGAGTGGAATAATAAGAAAGTTGGAGTAGAATAAAGGAGAGCCATATTCAACTCTGTTCTTAACCATGGAAGTTCACAGGCTGAATGTGGGCCAGTGTCTGTCTCTTAACCATACTGACCTTACAGGATGCTGGTTGTGAAGATTTAATTGAAAGAGAGAGTACTATGTATGTGGCCTTGAGCTTCTGGAGGGAAGGCAAGGTATGGATATGATAAAACTAATAAATAAATAAACTTTTGTAAGCTACACATATCTGGAGTCTTCTAGTCCGCAACTAATATATAACTATATGAATACGTAGTTAAAATGAATCCATTTGACAATAGCCAAAAATTAAATGATACAGTCTACATTTTGAGGCAAAGCAGAATTAAACCATTAAGACGGTCTTAATGGTTTAATTCTGCTTTGCCTCAAAATGTAGACTGTATCATTTAATTTTTGGCTATTGTCAAATGGATTCATTTTAACTATGTATTCATATAGTTATATATTAGTTGCATGCCCTAGGAGCAAAAGGTGCCCTGGACCTGCTGGTTTCTGCTGCCTCAAGGACTTGGAGTAAAGCAATGGCAGCTAATGCCAGTGTTTGTGGTGGATCATAATATGGTCATCTAAATAGTGGCTGGCCACTGAATAACAGCATTTGCTCCCTTTTTTTGCCTTTAGGAACAGTTAAAAGAAGCCGAGGAAGTATATCAGGCTGGCATCGAGAATTGTCCCGAAAGCTCTGATCTGCATAATAACTACGGGGTTTTTTTAGTCGATACTGGTAAGTAAAAACAAGACAAAACCTAAAAGACTAAGAACTACTCTGGACAAATTAAAATGATTGCCATCAGAGTTACTAGCCTAGCAATTTATCTCAAGTCTGCTCTGGGAAAAATTTTTTTCTTATTTTCCAAAAGCTCAGCTCAATGTGTTGCATTATGTGTTGCATCATTTTTATTATTTACTGTTTACTATTATTTATTATGTGCATTGTAAAGCTGTTCTTCTTCTCCTAGAACCACATTTGTGGCCCAACACTCTCAACTGTCAAGTGTGGCTTTAGCCCAGGGGTCTCCAAACCTGGCCGCTTTAAGACTTGTGGAATTCAACTCCCAGAATTCCTCAGCCACTAAATTCTGGGAATTGAAGTCCACAAGTCTTAAAGCGGCCAAGTTTGAAGACTCCTGCTTTAGCCCTTATATCAGCTTCTCCAAGATGAAGAGCTTTAGCGCCCCCTCTGGTCAGCTGCAGCAAAGCAAGGGAAGAGACTGCAAAACCCAAGGTCCAAATACATCAGAGTTCAGATGCAAAATACACACACACCAGAGGCATCCCAGACTGGACTTCAAGGACTTCGATTCCCAGAATTTTTGGCAATGGCCATGATGGATTGGGAAAGCCTAGGAAAAGTCTGTACATCTGGAGGGCACCCAGGTTGTGAGAAGGCTGATAAGAGCATTTAAGCTCAGTTGAAAAGACAATCATGTAGATAGGAGGATCCCAAGTTAGTTGTTGCTATTATTATAGGTTTTTCCATTCAAATGTTGCTGATAGTGGAATCAGACATTATTTATTTGCGGAATTATCTTAGATGTGTTCACGCAAGTAAGTTCCAGTTCAATGGGCATACCGGTAATCCTTGATTTATGACCTTAATGGAGCCTGCCCATCATAGTTGTAAGTTGTGATGGTCATAAATTGGGCCACCCATGTGATTGACTTGATTTGATGACCTTTTTTTGCAGTGGCTGTTAAGCAAATGCTGCAGTCATTAAGTGAAAAAATGGTTTGCTATGGGCCAAACTTTACCAGAAGTAAATGCCAATTTTCAGCAAAAATGTTATAACATATGGTTATGTGACTGCGGGGCATTGAAATGGCTGTAAATATGGGCTGGGTTGCTGAACGTCTGACACGCAGTCACATGACTGTGGGTTGGGGGGTGGCTATTGGAACTTCAGAAATGGGGTTGCAAGCCCCTCCCACTGGGAAGTCAGTTGTAACTTTGAATGGTTGCTATGCCATTGGTCATAAGTCAAGAACTACCAATGTTTTCCAGGAAAATCTGCATAGGTTTCCAGTCTTACTTGTCCAGCTAAGTGGCAACATTTAGTTTATTTCAGCTGATCTTTGAGTGGATTTGACTAGGAGGCAAGAGCAGTCTGAAGGAGACGTGACTTTAAACCGTGAGCCAAGGATTATTTATCCTGCTTCGTATTAATACATGGTGACCTTGAAAGGATGTTTGGACATTTTAAATACCATGTAAACTAGCAATCAGCAAATCTGGTCTCTCCTTCTTGCTTTAAATCTTAAATCTAAATTGTGGTTATTTTTAACCTTTGGTTTTATTTGCATTTCACATGCAGATTGCTCTACTCTGCTGTTATGGAATACATGTGATATGGGATATATGTGAATGCGTGACAAGCTGTATAAAATTTATCTTTAAAAGCTGTTTGCATTCCTGTGCTAGCAATCTGTCACTTTTCTCAAGGATGAAATTAATGTCAACACATTGATTGTTGTTTTTGCTTAACATAAGACACCGACAAATTATCCTACTTAATCAGTTCACACAGCTTGTAGTTCTGTCTGCTTTCTTGTAATGGATTGTTCTGCCACATACCTGTGGAAAATGTAATAGACCAGCTCCATCTTGTGGAAAAAGAAATATCACATTTGCTGTTTGTTTTGGTATTGGTTTTAGATTATGCATGGCTCTCCTCCCTTATTTAATGTTAATAGGGTTACTTTAGCTGGGCTGCAAAAATTCTAAATGACTTAATAGTGTCATCTAACAGTCATCTGGATATTTTACAGCATGTGTGTGTGTGTGTGTGTGTGTGTGTGTGTGTGTGTGTGTGTGTGTGTGTATCTGTGTAATATATATAAATATATAGCTAATATTAATGCTTTTAATTTTATGCCCGTAAACAGCTGGAAGCATCTTTTAAGACATATGACATCTATATTTGCAATTCTAATTAGAATTAATCTTATCTCTGCCCTACTGGGAAAATAATTCCCTTCTCCCTAGATTTTCAAAAGTAGATTAGGGAATTCAGTTGTTACTACAGCCCAGTGAAGTCGTTCAAAAGAGCCAGTAATGTGCTTAACATTAATTTTGTAGCTTGAACATTGCAAAGTAACCAACTGTTGGATGATTCTGGGAGTGATTGTTTATATTTTTTGTATTTGCAAATATGCCTTCTTTTGAATGAGCTTGAGTTCCTCTTGAATGTTCTATATGGGGTTGTCCCTCCTTTTTCCATATGCATTTCTTTTTTCAGATATTTATCTATTAAACTTGTATATCTCCTGACTCCCAACATCTCTCAAGCAGCTCATAAGATACTTTCAGAGATATTAATTTTGAAAAGGTTTTGGGTGACCTTGGGCCAGTCCCCCTCTCCCAGCCTAGTCCTCATCACTGGCTTGTTTTGATGGAGGAAATAGGAGGAGGAGGAAGGTGTGTTGGATATGTTCACTGCCTTGAGTTATTTGTAAAAATAATAATAGGGTACAAACAAAGAAATACATTTTGTGAGCCCTCTTAAGAGCAACCCTAACCCAGCCTTCTTTTTTCCAGGATCTCCAGAGACTGCAGTCTCCCACTATCAGAAAGCCATTGAACTTAGCCCCGGTCATCACGTGGCCATGGTGAATCTGGGCAGACTCTACCGCTCCTTGGGGCAGAACAAGGATGCTGAAATTTGGTACAAGCGGTAAGCATACGGGTGTCTCATGTTCTTCGCAAGGCTACAAGAAATCCTTGGCTTTTAGAAGGGAAATAATTTTGAAAGGGTTATGCCAACATTTTATGACCATTTTGCTTTTGATGTTTACTGCAAAGGAAGAATTTGAATCTTACCTGAATTCTAGGTTCTTTTAAGTAAGGGCTGGGCATAATGGGAGACAGTAGAAGAAAAGATGAGGAACAGTTGGGGAACTTTAAAGAGGTACGTAACATTATTATTTTATTTTATCCTTTAGGGCACTTAAAGTAGCACGGAAAACTGAAATCCTGTCCCCACTAGGAGCACTGTATTATAACACAGGTCGATATGAAGATGCATTAAAGATTTACAGGGAAGCTGCCTCATTACAGCCCTCCAACAAAGAGACTCGGCTGGCACTGGTGAGTTCAGACTCTTCTGAAAGTATCAACTTTGCATGTTTCTTTTTTGCTTGCAGATGTGAGAACACGAGACTGGGCTATGTGAGAATGTGAGACTATATGGAAGCTAAACTAAAATGGAACAGGCACGTAGTCAGGGAGGACAAAAGTCAGGAATCTTGACAAAAGTCAGGAATCTTGTCAGGAGGTAGCTAAGGAACCAAGTCATTAAGGATCAACCAAGAAACGTTAGCAGAGAATAGGCAAAAGAGACTAAGGGGCTGCCCCAAAGGAAAGGGAGTGAGCTATTCTCCAAAGCACCTGAAGGCAGAACTAGGAGGAATGGATGGAAACTAATCACGGAGAGAAGCAACCTAGCAACTAAGAAGCTCGTTAGCAACTAATGAGAAATTTCCTGACAGTTAGAACAATTAATCAGTGGAATGACTTGCCTCCAGAAGTTGTGAATGCTCCAACTTTGGAAGTATTTACGAAGAGATTGGACAACCATTTGTCTGAAATAGTGTAGGGTTTCCTGCCTAAGCAGGGGGTTGGACTAGAAGACCTCCAGGATCCCTTTCATCTCTGTTATTCTGTTATTCAGACATCCTTGAACCACAATGCAATCAACAGTTACCAGATTTCTGAATTAACAAAGTAAGGGCTTTGGGGGATAAAAGGGGTCCTGATGGCCACCCACGTTGTGGATCTGGATTTGATAGCTTTCATCCCTCTAACTAGTGCCAGGCAGTCTCCTTAAGAAGGATGTGGCTAAGTATACATGTGTATATGAGTATGCATGAGAGTGAGCAAGTGTACATTATAATCAGTAAAGTTTTGCTGCCACTTTGAATTCATTGGTTCTCCATGTACTGCTTTGTCACAGAATGTGATTTGCATGTGTTTCTAATTATTTCCCAGCTGATGACCAGGGCTATGGGTCTCGTGTGCTCTAACCATACCTATCTAGAAAACACAGATAGAGATTAAAGGGGGAGGAGGGGCTGCAAGATCCATGTGCTTTGACAAACTGCATGAGATGAGAGAGTGATGAACTGGGGATTGCATGTAAGACAGGTGGACATGGCCGAAGGAGTGAGGAAGGAGGAGTCAAAGCGATGAAGTGGTTAAGGAGTTGGACTAAAGGAAGTACACCGATTTTCTAGCTTACCTTTAGTCCTGGAAACTCTCTCAGCCCAACATAGAGCTCTACAGAAGCTTCTTTTTGCTCCTGCATGAAAATAGTCAGTTAAAAATTAGAAAAAATGATTAATTGCAGTACTCCTCGGATTATATCTGTTTCTTCAATGATCTTTCAAAGTTGGGGTAGGTAGCACTGAAAAAAATGGACATAGGATTGGCATTCGAGGTTCTGACCATCACAATGTTGCCACATTCCCAGGTCATAGCACTGAACGACAAGCTTTTTAATACTTAAGGTAGTAGGATATATGATCCACAGGTAACCATCAGGTTACGATAGCAATTGGGACTGGGACCAGGTTTCCTGTGGCTAAGTGATGCAGTAATAAATTGCAGTGTCATGTGATCACATTGCTTAGTGATGACAGTCTCTGGAGTGCTGGTTCTTGTCATAAACCAAGGACACACAGGCTGTTAAGTGGGAAGAGGTGGGATCCCAGGTAAGGAATGTAGAGGTGCTGCAGGAGGGTGGGAGAAGTCCTGGGAGGGCAGTGCAGGCAGCAGGTGAGTTGGAGGTGGGAGAGCTTGGGAGGCATGTTGTAGGCCACATGTGACCTAGGCATGGACAGTGCTGCAGGACGTGGGATGAATGTTGCAGTATGACTGCAGAAAAGCTGGGATGAATGTTGCAGTAACGTGCAAGGGCAGGAAGGCCGGGAAGGTGGACAGCAGAGCAGGGCTTGAGCATAGAAGGCTGGATGGACTTGCCAGAGTGACCTGCAACCTTCCCTTCTGGTTTCCCCATTGACTTTGCTTGTGGGAACTGTCAGGGAAGGTTGCAAATGGCAATTCTGTTAGCACTGGACATGGCATCCGTCATAAGTGCAAGCCAGTTGCCAAGCCTCCAGTTCACAATCGCATAACCACAAAAGATGGCCAGAACTTCAAGGATCTGTTACAAGTTCCGCTCATTCAACTTCAAATAGTTGCTGAACAAGTGGTTGATAAATGCATTTCTAGGGCATAAAAAGGAACATGTGAAGTAGACTCCCACAACTGTATTTTCTAATTTTTGTGAACAGGAATGATGGGAGCAGTAGTCCATCTCATAAGAAGTGACACCTGGAGAGAGAAAGATAGCTGCAAACATCATTGTTCAACAATAAAGCCGAATATTTGTAGCTTAGGGCTGAAATGAGGGGTCCTTGGTATGCTCTGAGCTTGGTTGATGCTGATGATGTTACTTATGCTGGGTAATGAACTGTCTGCAAGAAAACACCCGGGTTCAGAGAACATCAAGGACTCTACATCATCATTCAGCCAGATGCTTTCTCTTCTTAGATATGAGATGAGAGGCTATTAAAAAAATATAAAGCTTTCTTGATGGAACCACGTCATACAATGCCTTTAGTGTTCTTAGGCTGCCTTACAGAGGGGGACCAATTGAATATTCTCCAGGATTCTATGGAGGGAGTTTCCTTTACTTCTTTTTTCTCTTAATAGGCTCAGGTTTTAACAATGATGGGACAAGCAAAGGAAGCAGAGCAAATGTTGAGCCATATTGTGACTGAAGGGGCCGAGTGCCTGGAGTGCTACCGCTTGCTATCTGCCATCTACAGCAAGCAGGAGAACTACAACAAGGTATAGTTACCACTGTAATCCAAAGGCCGTCAAGCAGAGCACCTGGTTAAGAGGGACAACTTTAAACTATCTTGAAAGAATGCAGAGAGCAATAAGACAGATCCATCCAGTACTTCCAGGTGAATTTGTGTGGCTGGCTGCCTTGGCTGGATAGTGCTGTCCTATTTAAATGTCAGAAATCAATCTTTCAAAAGGCAATTGGAGTTTCTTTTTTTTCCCTTGAAGACGTTTCACTTCTCATCCAAGAAGCCTCTTCAGTTCTAACTGATTGGTGGGGAATGGAAGGATTTATATTCTTTGCAGTCATCTCTGCAGTCATTCAGATGACTGTAAAGAATATAAATCATTCCATCCTCCACCATTCCATCAGAACTGAAGAAGCTATTTGGATGCGAAGCGAAACATCTTCAAGGAAAAACAAGTCCAGTTGCCTTTTGAAAAAGCACTTTTGGGACAACCATGATCTGGATGGCTGAGAATTGCCATAGATTTTCAGAAATCAGATTCTGATTTTCAGAAGATTCTGAAGTGATGGGTCCTGTTTTGCTGAAACAGTTCACAGCAGAGACCAATTTCATTTCTCCATCCATAGGTACAATCAGTTACTTGTCAGGATATTAAAGAACCCTAGTGTCAACTCTACAAATGAGCATGGCTGCAGCTATTGTTCCTACTCATTTTCAGTTGCCACATAGAATGGAGGGAGGAGGGTTTTCCAGGTGCTTCGCTAGTCTAAATAATCTTTTGTCCTGTGGGAACCAAGGCCATTGGTTGCTCCCGAGACTGCAGGCTGGGCGTTGCATAAAAAGCCCGCTGAGAAGATGTATTGGGGAACGTAGTTGCTTGCATAATTTAAAGGGTGGGATTTTCTAACTTTGTATTTAGGAATTGTTACGTGTATCTCCAGACTTGGTTTCACTTTTGATGTGCCGATACTTTGTAATTAATAAACATATTCTTTGAGGAATTTGCAAGCCTCGGAGTTCTGCTTTATTTGTCTCTGTCTGTCAGAACTATAACTTTTAATCTAGGGCAGGAGTGTCAGACTGCCGGCCCATGGGCCAGATGTGTCATGCTGAAATCCGATTGCCCACCCGATTGTCGGCAATGGAAAAAAAGTCACGATACATCGCAACATGTCATATGACGTTGCAAGTTTGACACCCCTGATCTAGGGGAACTTTCTGGGTCTTCTCTGAACATCCAAAATTCCTTGGTAGAAGATCCTTCTGAATTGAATTATTGGCTATATTATTGGGAGCAAAACATAGATGACAACTGCCCAGTTTCAATCCATTCCTTCTTTTCTGTGCAACTCTTGTGGCATGCAGCCCAATCTATATGTGAGCATCTTTCCACCTCTGATGCACAAAGGAGTAAAAGATGGGGAAGTCTTTTTTCCCTAGGAAGCAAATAATTTTTGTGGCCAGAATAAAAATGGTGATGCAAATAAAATGTTTTTCCTAGTAATAAAAGAAGGACAAAAAGACAGAGGTATTAGCAAAATATAATGGAAGTTCAGCAAGGCATTTTCATTCATGTCCCCTGTTAACTTAAGGCCTTTCCAAATGTGGCAGATCTTGATGGTTGGAGTGTATAAGAATTGAAATCTATCCACATCTGGAAGGGTCACAGTTGGAAAAGGCCATGTCAAAATAACTATTGAGGTGCAGTAAGAATTTTTCTTTATTGTGCATGTGCAGGCACTTGAAGCCATAGACAAAGCTTTACAACTGAAACCAAAGGACCCCAAAATCATATCAGAGCTCTTTTTCACCAAAGGAAACCAGCTAAGAGAACAAAACCACCTGGATAAAGCTTTTGAGGTACTCACTTATATATGAACACATAGATTGCTTATTTCATTAAATTTAAGTGATGCTCTTCAAGTTGTTTACATTTTCATTAGTTGGCTTTCTCCAAGATAACAGCTCTAGTTTCCCCTTTGTCTCTCCCCCCTCCCAAAAAAACTTTTACAGAAGATAGTCTTTCAAAGTCTTTGCAGAATGGTACCCCTCTCTGGGAACATATGCCAGTTGTATTAAATATATTAATTGTTCTAAGGAAATTACAATTATTGGGAAACATGTCATTAACACTCTGTCCTGTCCTTCTCAATTTGGGGCTTCTGTTTATGGTTCGGCTACAATCTCCAGCATTCTTCATCTAGTAAAATAAATGGCCATAAGCCATGGAATTAGTAATCTGGAACATCTAAGAACCCAAGTGTGGGAAAAGTTATTCCTTGTGTGCATTAAGATCTCCACAATATAGTTTCAGGTCTTCTAATGTTGAGTTTTCATTTTCATGTTAATGTAGAGCTATAAAGTGTCGGTAGACTTCAACCCAGAACAAGCACAAGCATGGATGAATATGGGAGGCATTGAACATATCAAGGTAAGAAAATGCAGAAATTACTTGTGTTTGTTGTTAAAATATTTTTATTTTAATAAAATAAGAGTCACCTGTATGATTTATGATCCTTTGATACATAATGTGTGGTCACCAGATCATGTTGGATTACATGATATTGGATTATCTAAGTCCCTTAAGTCTACTTAAAACAATATTTATTATTAAATATTAAATACTTAATTAAATATTAAAAGTCAAAAGATTTTTTACATTGTCCAATTAAAAGCATTACAAGCAACAGACTTCCCAAGTAGACTTGTTCTATTCTAGTTTAATTAGAGCTGCAACAAAATGAATCTGGTTTTCAATTAAACTTATTATTTTAAGCTATTATTTAAAGAAGCATAGGAAACTGTTGGACCTCCAGGTAACCATTGAACTGAATGTTCTCTCAGTCAACAGGGTTAATGAATGAGTATAGTAGGAGTCTACCTAAATACCATCACAGATGGCCTCTATAGAAGCTTCCTTCAAAATGTAGCTGCTCAGCTTGGATGCTGCCTTAACGCTAACCTTATCTTGGGTCATCTCCTTTATACCTTCATGTAAGGCACAACACAGGGTTTCTGATAACATCTGTAGGTGATAAAGAGTTTTGTGAGAGGGTTAGTTCCCAAATAAAGTAGGACTTTAACAAGAGAAGATTCACAAAGGCAAGAACAGGGCACAAAGTCTTCAGACAGCTGGCTCTGAGTAAAAGTCATGGAAGAGAACAGCAGTAGCTGGGACTGGCCAAGCTAGTAACAGCAGAGAATGAAATATGGGCCATATTGGGAAGATAAAAACCCAATAGCTAGATGAATTTGAGATTTTATCTGTTTGGTCTGATAAAGATTCCTATGTAGCAGGATCCAATTTGGGTCGGTCACTGGGACCAGAGTCTTCTGAACTTTTGGACTCGTGTTAGAGCCCCCATCCTTAGGGAACCTCTCTCTCACCTGAATGTGTGACTAAAGACTAAATCTCTAGTCCCGGTGACCGACCCAGATCAGCTCCTGCAACATTATCCTGGAATACGTACATTTGCCTTCATTCCTATGTAGCCTCGACACTTATTCATTATGTCTGGTGTATGCATCATTTTTCAATTAATTGAGAAATTAATTCATCTGACAGGGCTGCTGTCAGTGTGGGTGTGTGAAAGAGAACCATACACACCATCTGAGCTCTTTCAAGGAAGAAAAGAATGACAGCTTTTTAAAAATGAACAAAACAGAACGACAAGTAGTCCTCCACTTATGACCACAATTGAAACCAACATTTCAATTGCTAGGCAAGATAGTTGTTAAGTGAATTTTGCTCTATTTTACGACCTTTCTTGCCACAGTGGTTAAGTGAACCACTGCAGATAGTAAGTTAGTAACATGGTCGTTAAGTCTATCTGGTTTATCCATTGACTTTGCTTGTCAGAGGGTCGCAAAAGGCGATCATATGATCCTGCAGCCTTCATAAACGTGAGACTGTTGCCAACAGTCTGAATTTTGATCAAGTGACCAAGGGGATGCTGCAACGGTCATGTGAAAAATGGTCATAAATCCCTTTTTTCAGTGTTGTAACTTTGGACGGTCACTAAATGAACTGTTGTAAGTCGAGGACTACCTGTACTGCAAAAACAACCATCCATAATGACATGAAGTCTATAGAATGCTGACATTTAAAAGAAATCTGTAGAACCTACCTGTGAAGCTATGGCTGATCTAATACTGTGCAAAACGTGTTTTGAGTTGTTTCCCCTCTTGTTCCACGTTCTTATTTTTGCAGGGTAACTATATCACTGCACGTCAATATTACGAGAAAGCTTTACAACTGGTTCCAAACAGCAAGCTGCTGAAAGAAAATCTGGCAAAACTGGACCGCCTAGAGAGACGGCTGCAGGAAGGGCGGGGAAGAGGGTAACAGGATTGGCAAGACAAATCACACACCTCTTGGTTAATGACTGCCTGTTGTGGAAGCCCCACATTTCCCTCAAGACAAAAGCGAACAGAACAGAATTATGGGGCAGTGGGGACCCAAAACAGGAGGCATCTATGAAGGGATCATAGAGGAGTCACCAAAGCTTCAGGAGCCCTCCTGGAGATGTTGTAGGACAGGTGAAATCCTAACCTTAATCCAGAGATGATGTTGGGGAAATGCTTCAAAAATGGCTAAAATTCAATGCATTGCTGGGATGATTGTTGGAAGGGAGGCAAGGACTTGTTTTAACAAAAATCAGAGAAAGTATTAATCTTGCAAGAAAAATGCTCTTGAAACCAGGTGCCTGATTAGCGAAGAATGTAGCTGCATCAGTCAGTGAGGAAGTAAGGGAAGAGACAGGGACAGTTGTCACGGAGGGGAATAGCACATTCCCGAGGCACTTGTAAAATCTTGGTAATAAATCTTGAAGAAGAATTGACTGTTATCTCAATGAAAGTGATGTAGCTCATTCTCCTCTAAACACTTAGATCCTGAGAGTGATTTCAGGGAAAAAAAACTATCCTCTGAAACATTTGTGACAATTTACACTCATGTTATCACAGCAGCAGTAGGAATTGAGATAGAGATATGCTTTGGCCAACATGATTCATCATTTGTTTTTCTGGATTATGAAAACTGGATCATCAGATGAAAAGAGGCAGCTTACAAACAAAAAGCTGAATGGATTTGGGAACATTAAGGGGTCAGAGTTGCTCAGAACAGAAGTGCTAGGTTTCTCCCTAAAAGTTCCCTTCATGCTCGCAGTGGATTTCATTTGCAAATATCTCTGATCCTATGTGATCTCAGAGGATGATTTAGGACAGACATGTCAAACACAAGGCCTGGGAGCCAGATGCGGCCCGTGAAGTGGTTTCATGTGGCCCACGAAGCCATCCTGGAAACAATGAGGGAACGGCTCCCGCTGCCTTGGCCCTGCCCAGGTTGGCCAGGAGCCAATGTACAATTCTGTAGTAGCCAGCTATGTTGAAACATATTCAGTCTTAGCTCCACAAGGCCATCTGGAAACAGCAAGGAACCAGCCCCTGCTGCATCGGCCCCGCTCTCTGGGTGCATGCTGGGGAAGTGTCACCCTTTGTGAGGAATGAGGAAATGGACTATGCCTTGGCGCTTGCCCCGGTCCCACCCCCTTTTGCCAGAGACCCTCAGATCTGTCCCACTTCTACCCAGGCCCCCACAGGCACCTTTGATGCAAACGATGTAGAACTGGCCATGCCCATCCAGTAGGCCACACCCATTCCATCCATGCCCACCCAGTAGGCTGCACCCACCCTGGCCACACCCTCCTGGCCCCCCCAAGGGCAACCGCAATGCTGATGCGGCCTTCAATGAAATTGAGTTTGACACCCCTGATTTAGGAGGATTTTGATTGCCGATTGTCAGGAATTGGTAGAAGGAGCTGCTAAGCACCTCAGAATATCTTCTAAACCCACAGAACCTTCTTGAATGACACATGAATGAATCTTGGCTAAGACACATGATACAGCTACATCTTGCTGGCTCTAAAGCCTTTGGATTTGCTAATGTTTTGAGACCTGGGAAATGAATAATTTCTGAGGCATTTTTTTCCCTAGTGGAAGTTTCTAGTAGTTTCACTTCTCCCCCCCCCTCCTCAGATGAGAAAAAAATCAGGTTTATTAAATATGATAGAGAACTCATGTCACCAATAGTGTTTATTTCTGAATATTTATTTGGCATAACAAAAAATATATGTTTATTTTTTTCTGCTTAAGATGGCTTAGACCTGCGGTTCTTATTTTATGAAGCCAGATATGATAGAATTTCTAGAGACGGGGATAATATTCTAAGAGTAGTGGGTGCCTCTGAATAGGATTTGAAAATATTCTCTCTAGGAAAAGGAATGTGGACCAACCATGAAACTGAAGTAGGTATAGAATCATGGGGCTGAAAGGCACCTTGCAGGTCTTCTAGCCCAACCCCCTGCCCAAGCCAGGGGTTCTTATTCCATCCTGGACAAATGGTCATCCAGTCTTTTCTTTAAACCCTCCAGCAATGGGTCACCCTCAATTTCAGGAGGCAAGCTGTTCCATTGACTAAATTGTTCTCACTAAGAAATGTCTTCTTAGTTTGATTACAGCTTAGTTAGACAGCAGTTTCTATCTGTTTGATTAAGTTCTTAAGGGTAAGCTCTGCTAACACAAATCTGCCCTGGGCTCAGGCCTTTTGTGAATTGATGGGGATCTTGACGATAAAGAAAGAAACCTGAGCTTTGGAAAAGCAGTAGTAAACCCATGTTGGCTGCAACTAGATAATGTGGTATTAACATCTCCAGCTTGGTAATCCAGTTTGATCCTGTCTCTTCCCTAACTTTGGATCTGTGGTTTGGACTTGCCTTACCATATTCACTGAAAGGGGAGCTGTCAAGCGGGAGGGAAGATAGTTCATCATTTCCAAAAATGTGGGGAAGAGTAAACGCTCCTAACCATTTAGCTCAACTGAGGTCTTCAAACTTGGCAACTTTAAGACTTGTAGACCTCAACTCCCAAAATCCCTCAGCCAGCCATAAAGTTGCCAAGTTCAGAGAGCCCTGGGCAAGACAATAATTATCCATTACAGTTACTTTGGCAATGGGCTAGAGAGATTTATCTGCTGTTGCTATTGGAAGAGCAATTTGGGAAAATTTGATGTGCATGTCGAATGGTGCAACCCTTCAGGAGTCACAACAAAGTAGATCTAAAGTCTTTGCTTTAGTGGGGCAATTGTCCATTCACAGAAGCCATTTTGGTTTATTTTTATAAACATCCCACGTTTTCCTATTTGTTCCTATTTGTTAGTTTATTTGACAGCATCCATTAACAAGAGAAAGGCATGACAGCTCCGTAGGATGTTTTGCATAGTAGCATTCAAATCATCTACAGGTATTTCTCAACTTACAACCATTTGTTTAGTGACCATTTGAAGTTACAATGGCACTGAAAAAAGGGATTTATGACTGTTTTTCACACTTATGACCATTGCAGCATCCCCATGGTCACATGATCAAAATTCAAATGCTTGGCAATTGGTTCATATTTAGGACAGTTGCAGAGTCCTGGGATCATTTGATCCCCTTTTGCAATCTTCTGACGAGCAAAGTCAGTGGGGCAGCCAGATTCACTTAATAACCATGTTACTAACTTAACAACTGTAGTGAACAACTATGGCAAGAAATGTCATAAAATGGGGCAAAACTCACTTAACAATTGTCTCGCTTAGCAACAGAAATATTGCACTCAATTATGGTTATAAGTCGAAAACTACCTGTATCGAAAACTAGAGAATTTTGAGTTATTTTTTAACAGGTAGTATAATTCTGAGGTTGCATTGTAGAATCTTGGATTTGAGTCCCAATTCTTCTTTGGACTTGTGAAGGTAGTTAATGCCTATCTGTGAAATGGCATAGATATTTATATTAACATGATGGGAAGTCAAGATTTTAAATGCTGAATAAGGCAATAAAGCATTAAATGATAGAGTAACAGGTCTGACTATACAAATAGCACTTTCTAGATAATAAGCTCTTGTTATCATTCTGAACTTTCAACGTGTGGTAATACAGAAATCTGACGTTTGGCTGTCGGTCGTTAAAGGTCAGCAGCTCAGCAAGCAAAAATAAGTTACCTTGTAACAGAAACATATTGTATCTTCTGCATTTTAAATCAAAATTTATTAGCCAGATGTGGATTTTTGGATTTTTTTCCCCCTGATGGATCAACATGGCTATGATTCAGGGCTTTTTGGTAAAATGTAAGCCCTTTGAGAATAAATATTTACAATAAATTCATTGTGCCAAATATATTACAATCCACCAGGGTGTACTTTTAGCATACCCAATTGATGTGTTTGAAGGAACATGAAGCAGGCTGACGTCCACATCTGGAGATCATCTGGTTTGGTAAAGCTATCATAAATAAGCCCATTTTTAATCTTGTACCCACCAGTGTGTTCAGCTCAGCATAGCTATGAATATTTCACATACTGTTTCCTCATGAATAAATGTATGAAGGATGCCTCAACTGTTTCATCCATAAATATTTCTATCTTTGTTGAAAATAGCATGCTCAGGATCAGGTTTTATTAATGTCATAGACCATGATTTCCCTTTGCTGACATAATTTGTTTAAGGGAGGTTCAACTTTTGTCAATTTCATCAATGCTGAAGAAATTATCTACTAATCCTGACCCGAAGAGGAAACAGAGGGAGTTTCTGATATTTTTTCCCCTTCAAAAGAGTATATATGCATAACCATATTTACTTATTAGTTTTACTGAGGAATAGCAAAGAAAATGGGGCAAGAGATGAGACGATATGTGGAGTTTTATTTGCATCTAGTTGGAAATCTGTAGAGCCGCAAGAAATAGGAGATTATTCTCTCCTGCACAAGCTGGAGGAGCTGTGGTGTCATTTATAAGAAGAAAATCTCATTTGTGAATGTTGAAATGTACATCAAGCTGAAATGAGGGAAAACTCTGAAGTCACCGATTTGTTTTAAATGTTTTAAATCTATGTGATTTTGACCTTAGGCATAAATGAGATATACTGAAAAACAATGGAACAAATTATTTATGACCTTTCAAAGGAAATTGATCACAGCCAATTAAGCTGAAACCGCACCTTAGTCCATTAAATGATATCACAAATTGCAGCTCACTGAATCTCAAGCATTGATATATGATATGGTAAAAATATCTTACAAATTTAATGGCAACATAAATTTGTAAATCCGGGTACATGTAGTCATTTAGGATTGTATATATCATCTTTATGGATCCAAAATGCAGATGCTGAAATTTATTGTTTATTATTCACAATTTAATGAAAAAATGTATACTTTCTGGAAAATTAGCCTTTGAACTGAGATGATCACAAGTTATCTGAAAATGACAGTGGTTGAAATACTATCATATTTAAATAGAGTTGCTGTTTTTTTCTTACCAGGAAACTATTTCTTCAAGTATTTACAGATTTATCTTTGCTGGGCATTAAAGGAAGCAATGGGGAATGAAGTCACAACGAGTGGCTAGATCAGGGGTAGGCAACCTTGGCTCTTTTATGACTTATGGACTTCAACTCACAGAATTCCTGAGCCAGCCAAGGTTGCTTAGCCCTGGGCTAGATAAATCAGGCTGGCTGATTTATTGGGCAGATTGAACAAAGGGGCATTATTTTCCCATTTTGATTTCTATGTGTTTGAGCTGAAAAGCACTCAGAGTAAAGGGTCACGACTGAAAAATCTTCATGATTGCCTGTATCAGCCATTCTGCCTTCATTTTTAATAAATTTTGGCTTTTCAATTTGAGGAGCAAAAAGCAGTTCAATTCCAGCTTGTTCAGAACTGGCTCTATTATTTTGTTTTGTTTTGTTTTTTTAAAAAATCCTGTCCTTGAAAATGGGCTATGTTTCAAGCCATGTGTTTTTCCCAGACAGCATCTACATTTTGAGTTTTGAAACGAAAGTAGTTCTCATTCCTTTTTACCTTTATCTTCCCCTCTCAAAAATCTCAAAAATTCAGCATTAGCATGACCATTTCTCTTTCTGTGAGCAGCACTTCCTCTGTTGCACACTTGTGCAAATGTACACAATGTGGATCCTTTTCCAGCTGAATTGGGCCCATCTTGGGGAAGACTCAGTTTAGAGATTATTCATATTGATCTAACACCATCCCAGGGCATTTCATTCCTAATTTGATCCCTTTTCCATTTGTTTTTGCTGCTTGTAGATTAAATGCAGTTATAAATATCTTAGCTCTCTTCTTCTGGCATATATTAGCCCTGTATGATGAACAACTTTTTTTTAAATTCTAAGAAAAATAGTGGGACAACTCCTTTTCTGAAAATTTGAGTTGTTTTATACACAGACCTTTATGAAGAAAGGTCAGCTCAACCTAAAACAAACTGGATTTTAAGAATTCCCCCATTCATTCCAATGGGGCCAATGCAAAGGGTTTAACATCTGTGCGAAGGACCCACTCCATTGAAGTGAATGGGAAAGTCCTGAAGTGCACGAACTCTAGAAATATTGTTAGGCATGATGATAAGTTATTCTCTTTCTAGTAAAAACAAAGATTGTGTTCACATTTTGAATTAAGATATACTTAGCTATATTCTGTTTGATTGCTTTACAAACCACAGTGGCCGCTAGACTCATATAATAAGCTAAGACAAAGTAACTGAATATAGTTTGCCATTAGCTATTGTCTGTGACTATTTCTATTGACACAATACCAGGGCTTTTTTTGTCATAGAACGCCCAGAACGGAGTTACGGCACCTTTTTTGGATGGAACCTTGTAGGTTAGGCAAGGTGTGTTGTATGTCATGTGTGAGTTCCGGCACCTTTTGTTTTTACAAAAAAAAGCACTGCACAATACTATACAATATAATTTAAAATGTGTATCTTAGCACCTTTGGTGAACGCAGTCAGCTGTAGTTATTCAGCAAACCTTAATTTAACACGAAGCATGAGTAGATTCATTTCCATACAGTGTAAAATTGAGCCCTTTGCCAAATATTTTGTGCATTTGTTTCCTGGTGATCAACAATAACCTTCTTTTAAAGACAGATTGAAAAAAAAAGTCATTGTATTAAGATGATTTGCTGTCAAACTGCAGAATTCAGTGTACTTTTCAGAGGTTGTTAGAAACTTTTGAATGGACCTTTGAAATGAAGCTGAGGGAGATGGAGGCGCACACACAACTGGGCAATGGGCATTTCCCTAACTCACTTCTAAAACCAGAAAAGGGATTCTCTGCATGGTAGAATACCTCATTTCCATGCTGGACACTTCCCTTTTCATCTGAGTTTGATGTTCTGCCTAGAATAGTCACTATAAATCAGAATAGGCTATGTTGGGCTAGACCAGTGTTTCTCAACCTTGACAATTTTAAGGCATGTGGACTTCAACTCCCAGAATTCCACAGCCAGCATTGCTAGCTGTGGAATTCTGGGAATTGAAGTCCACATGCCTTAAAATTGTCAAGGTTGAGAAACACTGGCGCTAGACCAAATAAATAAGCTGACTTATCTAAAGCAAGGAAACTTCCCATCTCTCCTTTGCTGTATGGTGGATTTGTGATTCTTTTCAGAAGCAATTTGTGCTCTAGAGTAGAAGTCAACATTTTTTGGTTCCAAGCTGTGTATTTTGCAGTCTCGGGAGCCCCATCTGACCACAATTGTGGAAAATAATGAAATATAGAAATATATGTAATATACTGAAGAATAAGGATTCTTCTGTTGAAGGAATGTGCTGAAAGGGAGGGCGATGACACTGCTATCAGAATGGCCAAAGTGATTACTTTGTGTTATTTCCCTTGTTTCAAAGACTGTTCATATATTTATATAACCACGTGGCAAGGGCCTCTCCTTCACATGTTAAATAACAACAGAAAGTATGGATTTTCAGCACTGCTTCAAATATCTACAAGCACTATTTATATGATTATAGGAACCGGCCTTATTCTAGCTAGATCATCAGTCTGGGCAGCCCAGTATTGCCCTTTAAGATCTGCAAAACATTAAAATCCCAATTTATTTCAAATTGTTTTTCACCATCTGTAATCTGATCTTTGCTTTAACCAAAATATGAATCTGGGATCTTTTGCATGTAAAACAGGTATTCTGTCACTGAACTTTAGTCTCTCTAAAAGGGGATATTGACAATCACATACAGTTTAGGATGCCAGCAATGATCAGACTTCTGGGGATTAAGAATAATTAAATATGACCATAAATGAAAAGTATAAAGCCTTACCAGACCAGGACTACAGTTGGAGTCATGGAATTGCAATTCCATGGTTCAGCTCTGATCTTTAATTTGAAAGCCTGCCAAAATCCTTGCACACTTAAGTTCCCTTTTTACAGATGCACTATGTGTTTAGCTTATTGCTTGCACACTTTTCCTTTGTGAAAATCTGGCCCTTTAGGGCTTTTTGCCTAGGGTATGTGCAATAGTTAGCAGCTTGCTTCTACATATACTGCACAAGGAGCAACAAGAAAACTTGTTTAAAAAAATGTCAACTTATGGTAATCTCTGCAAATATGTGCCAATGTTCTTTGTGGTGTAGATCTGAGTTCATTGAAAAATCTTCTTGTAAAGACACTGATTGTAACTGATGGCTTCTATGAACATTCAGAATTCTCTTTGCCAAATCTGGATGCTATTGAAATTCTACAAGATGAAGTTAATTGCATAGATGTGGAATTTTTCATTTTCACTTTTGCCTTTCTCAGTTTTAGGGTATTGCTTTTGTTCATTGGATTTAAATGCACAATTTAGCAGTGAACTATATGCCAGTAGTAACAAGATTTGGAAAGATCCTTTATTTTCATTGTCAAATTAGGGATGGGTTTTGACCTCAGAAATTATTATCAGAGAAGTCTTTGGACAAAGCAGATGTATATAAATGTCTATTTTATATAAAAATGATAAAAGTATTGGCGTTATTTTTTCCTGAATGTTTGCTTTGGAATGTGTGTGGTGCAACTGATTCTTTCATTTTAGTCCATGTGTTTCTGTGCATTTATGGAGAAGTGTTTCAATGAACTGAAGGTAATAAATCACAAAATAGAATAAAATATTTTTAAATCCCAATAAAATGAAAAATAAACTTTGTAAAAAGAAGGAACTTCTTAAAACAATTTTGACTCCCAAGCAACCATCATTCCAGGAAAGTTTGTTTCTTAAGCCTTATCAAACAAATCTGGCAAACATTGAATGCATTTTCACAACGCAATCATAGTTATGAATTAATCAATTTTCCATCTTTGTACCTCATACCTTGAAATTAAGCAGTTGGGTTGATGTCACACAGCATACTAGAATGCTAATAAAGATTAACACCAATAAGCATAGCATGTTGCATAAATGCAGCTGCTGGATTTGTAACTGATCTGATCAAGTGTATTGTGTGAACAAAGACACAAGGTGGGGAGGGACATACAAGCTCAGCTTTGCCCTAGCAAGCAATAGGTTTTAGAAATGCTTTAGAGAATATCCTCAATGGATATAACTCGCAAGTTGGCAGCATACAGAAGAGAAACAATCCAATTTAGCCTTGTTCATATATACTGTTAACCGGCTACCAGATGCCTTGCATTATAAAACTTTCCTATTTAAAGAAATGTCAGAAAACCTATATTAATTGGGAATTGCAAGGGATACAAGAAGATTACAGTTTTCTGTTGAAAAATTAAAATGTTTGCATTTTAGACTTGATATACACTGCAGATTAGAGTGCCAAAGCTCAAATAATGGATCAAGTCAATGGCTATTTAAAGAAAAATCTAGGTATATGTGCACTCATGATGTGGAAAGTTGATATGCTGACTGGCCTATGAACCAGGACTGTAGGTCCAATATCTCCATAGCTGAAACCAAAGAAATATTTATAGGTACGCAGAAAGATCAGTAGGGAGAACTGATTCTAAATTCTCAAGTATTCAAAGAAAATATTTTGAATAGAGCTGCAAGACCAAAATGTTAAATTACCTTCTCTTGAACTTGTCTTATATATAAGACTGACCCCAAGGTTATGTTATCCCTTGCCTATATGGGATTCTTCTATAGTATATGGTAAGATTATGAGAGGGCTACAGTTAAGAAGTTCCTTACCACAAAATATTCTTCCTCCCTGATAGTCTTTGACAAAATGGTTGTTTCTGGATGTGATTGGGGAATGTGTAACTGATGCTATTCTGAGCTTAGCTAAATATAACAACAACAACAACAACAACAACAACAACAAAGGAATGATACAAAATGTAGGCTGAATCACATGACTTAATCACTTGTTTTAATCATAATATCTTGAATACTTTGCCTACTGCAAAAGCTAGGCTCGCACAAAAACCATGTTTTGATTAAGCACAGCCTTTCACTATCTGGGCATGTTCCAGATATATTTATTTTTAATACCCTGAACTCTTGGCAATGGCCTGGTGGCTGGGGATTTGTCCATCTATTTGGAACATGCCCAAGTCAGGGGAAGGCTGGCCTAGCATGAGTTGTGATCCTGACATTTTACTCATTGCTCTAAGGTTGTTTTAACTATTGGCACTGAATTGCCTTCAATTGGATGGGTTCACAGAGCATGTTAAGGCATAAGACCATAGGATAGATTCATAAGCAAAGCATATTTTGCATGCCAAAGTCAGATCCCAAAACTGTAGGCTATATGTGTCTGTGGAGATTCTGAGTCATCCCGATCATGGTTGTCTCAAAGGTGCTTTTTCAAAAAGCAACTAGACTTTGTTTTTCCTTGAAGACATTTCACTTCTCATCCAAAAATGGTAGAGGATGGAAGGATTTATATTCCTTGCAGTCATCTGGTCATTAGCACTCTTTCTGAGAGTCATTGAGGCCACTTGGAAGCTGTGCCCTCAGATTCACCTGAATAGTGCAAATGGAACTGGAACTGCTCAAGGACTGTATTGTAAAAGAGAGATAGGTAGTGTCATATCCCTCCCCCTCTGTTGAGAGAAGGCTGTTCAATCTTAATGTAAATGGTCTCTTTGGTCCCTTTCAAACAGCTGTCCTCTCTGTCCAGAGTATGGACTTTGCTGTCTTCAAAAGAGTGACCTTTCTCAGAGAAATGTCTTTAAGGAAAAACAAAGTCCAGTTGCCTTTTGAAAAAGCACTTTTGGCTGTAGGCTATGTAATTACTGAGTAAAAGCCACCCAAAGAAAGATTGGGCATCCAGATGGAGAAAATCTGAAAGTTCCAGTACTATCTTGGTGTAAAGAATGCCACAGGCCTAGTTGTCCAAAGGAGGAATTTGCATCTGCCAATGGATTTTAGTCAATATTCAAAGCAATAGAAGGAAACAGATTTCCCTGGTAAGTATATCAAGACCTTGTGACTACTTGTACATTGCCTAGAGAAATAAAGAGAAAATGCTTTGAGAAAAGAATGGAGGACATACATAGACAGAAATAGTTGGATTCCACAGGGGCAATGTTAGAATAATTCATTACAGTGCTAATAATTCAAAAAGAAATACAATACTGCAGCAAAGAGGAGTGATGGCAAACTATGACCATTTAATTTTTGTGATTGGGCAGTTTTAAGTCCTCTGCTCTTCTTCAGTTTTTAAATTGGACATGAATCTGAGAAAGCTTGAAATGGAGCATCCCTCCTCAGTCTGGAGATTCCAAATGTGCTAGACTTCATTCCTAGCTCTTCAGTTCACATGGCCAACTTCTGGTTTTCTTCCTGCATCTGCCACACCAACTTCTTCATGCGCTCAGACTACTCCCAGTCTTTGATAGAGATCTTTATATTTTCCTGTAGAAACCAACGACATCCATTTACCAGCTGGATTCATGTGTTCTGCTTAACTACAGTTTGATGACTAAAGTAAAATTACCTATGTTTATCTAATAGGTTAAGCCCCACTTCGTGTTTTACAAACTACAAGAACTGTGTTCATATAATACTCCATGGCAGAATTCAAACCCATCCATTTAGGTTTTGATTTACTGTGTGGGTTACACTAAACCAGGGGTAGGCAACGTTGGCTCTTTTATGACTCAGAATGGCTGGCTCAGGAATTCTGGGAGTTGAAATCCACGAGTCATAAAAGAGCCAAGGTTGCCTACCCCTGCACTAAACCATGAGGCGGTTTATTTAATTTTAGCTTCCTGTGCTGTGAAAATTCACATATATAATTCGTAAATCATGGTTACAGATTAATCCCATATATTCATGGCTTAACTAACAAAAGCATTTTCTTTAGAAAATCACAAAAAAATACTATACTGTATGTATACCCAATTACTTATAGTTAGAATGTGTTTTTATGATGTTGTAAATCTCAATACAGGACATATTGTTACAGTACAATGATATATGTACAAATTATTAGCCTAATATTTACATCACTTGGAGTGTTGATAAAAAAAGAAAAAATATTAGATGTCAATGAGCATAAGATTAGGCTTTTTTTTCCAGAATTGAATATAATATTTAAAAAACTAGAGATTGGGTCAATGTTTTTATTGCACAATAAAAATTTGCAACTTAAGTTGATCACTTAGCATAGGTTCTCCATTGTACTGCTACTTAATGTTTTTTGTACATGTTGATAAAGGAAAAAAGATAAAGCAAGTTTAAGAATAAATAAAAAGAAAAAGAAAAAGAAAGAAGGAAGGAAGGAAGGAAAGAAAGAAAGGAAGGAAGGAAAGAAAAAAAGAAAGAAAGAAAGAAAGAAAGAAAGAAAGAAAGAGAAATTCTAATTTCCCTCTTTCTGAACATTTTATTCACAAAGTTTGTAAGTTTTTTTTAGTTTACATTCAGTAACCTCTCTCTCAATGAGTCTTACCTAATAAATGCTTGTCCGTGCCTTTTAAACTACAATTCCCAGATTCCCTTGGAAAAGGACAGGTATTAAATCATTAAGGACAAAGTGCTCATTTGTCCTGTTTCTGCCAAGAGGATCTTGACTAATACAACAGGATGTCAAGAATCTTTTCCTCACTTTTCCTTTTTCTTGATAAATGTGGTAGGTTGTAAAAAAAAAAAAAAAGTCTTTTGAAGCCTATTTTTGTTTCTATCCTTTCTTAATCTCCCAGTTGTTGCTAAAAGGGTTTGGCTGTGTTTTACATGAACCATGCAAATACCACAATGGTTCCTCTGTCCCATTGTCTGTCTCCAACTACACGGTAAGTATTTGAGAACACTCTCCCCTTCCCAAATTGAATGATCATGTTTGTTTTGAGCAGAGGTGTTACCTACTGTTGTTATTGTAGCCACAAGGAAGCATCTGATTTGACTTTCTAAAAATATTCTAGGAAATGGGAGCTGTTAATGAGAGAAACAGGGTTGTGTCTAAAACACCTTTCTGAACTTCCAGGTGTATCGTGTTGAAGGTTGTCCAGTCTGTTATCTACTTGGTAGTAAGCTCTATCAGACCCAGGGGGCTTTACTACTGAGTAATACACATCTAGGGCCCTTTTTACATAACTGGCTTTGTTTCAGAAAGGACATCTCCAATCCTGGGAAGCAACTCACAAACAAACCAACTTCCCTCTTTTCCTATAACTAGCCAAACTTCGGTATTCAAGAGGGATTAGTCAGCCTTCCTTAAGGAAATGAAAGAGTCTAGATGGCATGGAATAAAAAGAGTCAAAATATAAACATTGTATTTTGATTCCCCTTGTATTTAAAATGTCCTTTTTTTTTCATTAAAACCATACTTAAGCATCTTTTAGAAAGGTTCGGAAGGACTTGAAGGATTCATGCAGCCCCAGGGCTTGTTTTTACATTCCCTACTGTGCGTGGTCTCCATGCCGAGGGAAAGCTCTTGATTCTAGTTGTTTATAAAATGGCTTGTGAAATATTGATTCTTCTGCAACACAATGGCTGAAAGGCCTTTCACTTTCCCGATCTTGATTAGTTTTTCCCTCTCCAAAGCAAGTCTGAATTTATCCCAGCGGTC